TTCCGTGGGGCGGCCGCCGATATTTCACGGCGCCCTACGCCTCGACCTTATTACGTCGGGGCGCACTGGGCCGATGGCGGTCAAAACGTATCTGTAACGAACATGAAATAATTCTATGGATTTAACAATGAAATACATCAGTCAGCGACAATGAACACCGACCCAATGCCTGAAAAAAGAAACTGTAAATACCTTATAATTTTGGTTGCGTAGGCTTCCGCGGCCGGAGTTTGTGTTGTCTAGGCTATCCGGGACGAGCCGCGTCACTGACATGGTGGCTAACGTTTCGGCCAGCGTATTGTAGCCTTCTTCGGAGCGTAGTGCTGCGCGTGCACTTCAGAGCGTGCAGTACGCTTCTTCAGAGCGTACAGTACGCTCTGAAGAAGGCCACAATACGCTGGCCGAAACGTAAGCCACCATGACCATGACGCGGCTCGTCCCGGATAGCCTAGACCACACCTTATAATTTTAGCTGATTCGGGGGCGCTGATTTCTAAGAAATAATTAGATGTCAACGTTTCGGTCGCACTCCTCCTCACTGCCAAATACATGTTGAAATCGGCGAAAAATCTAAGAACCCGGCGACACGTACGATTTGAATGAAGTATATTTATTATATTCTATGTCTTGGCGAGTTTGAAGATGCTGTAGATTACGTAATTCCAAAGTACATGATGTGGAATTGGAAGAAACGTCATAATCAATTCTACTTCGAATTCTGAAGCGAAATCAAGTCAAACAGTTCTACAATTTTACAACATTACGGCAGTCCCCCCTCCCCATTCCTCTATAAAGATGAATGCTATACCATGACAGTCCACCAAAAACAAAGAATAGACACGGGTGAAATCTGACTCTTGCGGTAAATCCTACGAAACACTAGGACTGATCCAATCCGCCAAGAAAAACTAAATCGTAGAAAACAAATTGGAAAAAATAGTGGAATATAATGAGTCTTCCTCGGAGAAATAATGGATGACAGCAGATTTACCAAAATGTTGAATATATAAAGAGCCACAATAAAAAGAAACACAGAATGCCCACAGAATAGCTCAATGAGCAATCTAAAACTGGAGATGGTGTGTCGAGAAGTAGTTGCGCAAGCACCTGCGACAAATGAAGGACCGGGCAGAAAGGAGTAATTCACAAACTGTTCCTGCTAATTATGTATACATTATGTGAACATTTTCTCAGAGAATTGTCTCGGACCCATTAAGCAGTTTACAAAACAATACTAAATTCAAAGCAAATGTGCAAGTTATCACAAGGCCCCATGCTAGAGGGCAATTTAAGTGTTCTACAATATCTAATGTTTAATTTTTTTTTATTTTTGTGAATTAAAGGGCAAGTAATAGTATAAACGCAAATCACATAAAAGTAAATAAAAACATTCAAAAGAATTGAACATGCAAAATAAACAGTATTGAATGTAGTCTCTATAATTACTAATAAGTGGGGAAATATTACACGAGTATTTCGTACGTCATTTCAGCTCTAACGTCACAGGATGCAAACAAAATTTCACAAAAATATGAAAATATTAATATTATTTGTTAAATTTAATACAAACGTACCGGCAGAGAAGATTTACAGCGTCAACTGATGTCACTGCTGTGCCTCTGACCGGGAGGCCTAATGTTCGAGTTCTGACGGTGGCAGGACTTTCGACACTAGCCAGATAGCTAGGTCGAGTTCTGTCGCTAACTGAAGGAGGATTCTAGCGGGCGGTTTGCCTGGTCACTAGCTTTCCGTGGTTTCTCCGATCAATACCAGGCAAATGTCGGAGCAGTACCTCAACCAACGGGCCATGACCGTGCGCGATCTTTCCTTCCTCTTCCTTGTCCTTTCCTCACTCAATTAGCTGCACTACACTGCCACCCATGCCGGGAGACCTGTCGGGAGCTTAGAGGTTGTCCCGGCTGAGGCGGTGAGCTACTAGTGGGAGACACCTGGTTGGGAAAAAACCCGCTATCCGACAGTAGGTCGGCGCCGCATTTCACCATCCAACGGGGGAAGATCACCTCCACCTGCCAAGCCAAACACATGCACTATAATAACAGGACTAATGACCTTATCAATTGACGCTCCAATCGACCAATCTATCAACAGAAGCAAAAATTCTTGGCTATCCGGGAGACGCCGCGTCGTTGGCTGGGAGGCCGACATTTTGCCTGACATGTCGCAGGCTTCCTCAGGGCAGTGAGGCTTCCTCAGGTCACCGGGGCATTTAATTCACTGCACTTTCGTCTGTCACTGCCCTAAGGAAGCCTGCGACATGTCAGGCGAAACGTCGGCCTCCCAGCCAACGACGCGGCGTCTCCCGGATA